GATGCATAAGACCTCTTAGGATCCAAAGTCAGTATTAAAGTTACCCTGAGCCAGTCCCCTGACTGTACTGCCACATCTGTTGTCTGTTCTGCTAGTTCAATTAATTTGGGAGAGAATTAATCGAGGAATACATTTGGGTTAATTAGAGAAACTCAGCATGGATTTCTAAATGGAAAATCTCTTTGAACCTGCTGAAGGTTTTTGAAGAGGTAACAGAAGATGGCTGAGGGTAACGTTGTTGATGTGACGAGCACGGACTTACAAAAGGTGTTCATGACAGTACTGTCCGCACAGCAGACTTGTCAGAAAAGTTATTGCTTATAGGATAAAATTGGCAGCAACCATACATGCAAAGTTTGTTTATTGATGGGAAAAAGAGTATTGTTTTAATGGATGTATTTTATAGGCTGGTAGATGGTTTGTTGGTAAGTTCACAAGGCTAAGTGTTTGGGATCCTTGAATTTTCTGCATTTATATTAATAAACTATTTCTTGGAGTACAAGGGACAATTTCAGAGTTTGCAGATGATGTAAAACTTGGAAACATTGTAAACTGAGGGAACAGTGCAAACCTTCAAAGCGGCATTGACACATTGGAGTGGCTGAATATGTGGTGACATGGAGGTAATGCTGTTTCTGCACAAGACCCAGCTGGAGTATTATGTACAGCACTAAGTGCCACACACCTTTTTAGTAAAGGTGTGAAGATATTGAAGAGAGTGAGGAGGACATTCACGAGGAAGGTTCCAAGGATGGGAGATTTCACTAAAGCGTTTGATAAGGTTGGTAGGCTATTGCAGAAAATACGGAGGCATGGGATTGAGGGTGATTTAACGGTTTGGATCAGAAATTTGCTAGCTGTAAGAAGACAGGGTGGTGGTTGATGGGAAATGTTCATCCTGGAGTTCAGTTACTAGTGGTGTACCTCAAGGATCTGTTTTGGGGCCACTGCTGTTTGCCATTTTTATAAATGACCTGGATGAGGGCGTAGAAGGATGGGTTAGTAAATTTGCGGATGACACCAAAGTCGGTGGAGTTGTGGATAGTGCGGAAGGATGTTGCAGGTTACAGAAGGACGTAGATAAGCTGCAGAGCTGGGCTGAGAGGTGGCAAATGGAGTTTAATGCGGAAAAGTGTGAGGTGATTCACTTTGGAAGGAGTAACAGGAATACAGAGTACTGGGCTAATGGTAAGATTCTTGGTAGTGTGGATGAGCAGAGATCTCAGTGTCCATGTGCATAGATCACTGAAAGTTGCTACCCAGGTTGATAGCGTTGTTAAGAAGGCGTACGGTATGTTAGGTTTTATTGGTAGAGGGATTGAGTTTCGGAGCCATGAGGTCATGTTGCAGCTGTACAAAACTCTGGTGCGGCCGCACTTGGAGTATTGCATACAGTTCTGGTCACCGCATTATAGGAAGGATGTGGAAGCATTGGAAAGAGTGCAGAGGAGATTTACCAGGATGTTCCCTGGTACGGAGGGAAGGTCTTATGAGGAAAGGCTGAGGGTCTTGAGGCTGTTTTCGTTAGAGAGGTGACTTGATAGAGACATACAAGATGATCAGAGGATTAGATAGGGTGGACAGTGGGAGCCTTTTTCCTCGGATGGTGATGGCTAGCACGAGGGGACATAGCTTTAAATTGAGGGGTGATAGATATAGGACAGATGTCAGGTAGGTTCTTTACTCAGAGTAGTAAGGGCGTGGAATGCCCTGCCTGCACAGGTAGTAGACTCGCCAACTTTAAGGGCATTTAAATGTCCATTGGATAAACATATGGATGATAATGGAATAGTTTAGGTCAGATGGGCTTCAGATTGGTTTCACAGGTCGGCGCAACATCGAGGGCCGAAGGGCCTGTACTGTGCTGTAATGTTCTATGTTCAGTTATGAAGGTAGATTGGAGAAATTGAGTCTGGTTTTATTGGTGTGACGAAGGCTAAGAAGAAATTTGATTGTAGTTTCCAAAATTCTGAGAGGTCTGAATCAAATAGTTTGGGAGAAACTGTTCTCACATGTAGAAGGATCAAACAAGAGAGGACATTGTTACTTTTATAAATCACTTTAAAACTACTATGTGAAAAAATGTCTTTCACATGGTTAAAGTCTGAAATGAAGTGTCAAGTGTGGTGGAGGCAGGCTCAACAGAGGCATTCACGAGCAATAGATTATTTAAATAGAAATAATGCCTAGGTTTATGGGGACACGGACTAAGTCATAATGTTCATTGGACATCTATTGTAAACACTTGACCGAACATGCATGTTTATGGATAACAGCAGTCCTTGGGTGAAGGTGTTAAACTGGGGGAAGGTGAGCAACAATATTAGGCAGGAACTGGAGAATGTTCTTTTGGAGGTAAATCTACATCAGACATGTAGAAGTATTTCAAATGGCAGTTAAGAGTTTGGGGGCGGCATGTCCCCGCTAGAATGAAGGACATGTATGGCAAGTTACATGAATCTTGGATGACCGGGAATGTTATGACCTTGGTCAACAAAAAAGGAAGCATAATGTAAGGTCTAGGAGGATGGGAACTGATAAAGCCCTTGAAGTATATAAGGAAAGTAGGAAAGAACTTAAACAAGGAATTAGAAGGGCTAAAAAGGGTCATGAAATGTCATTAGCAAACAGAATTACAAAGAATCCCAAGGCTTTTTATACATATATAAAAAGCAAGAGGGTAGCTAGGGAAACGGATGGCCCTCTCAAGGACAAAAGAAGGAATCTGTTTGGAACCAGAAGAGGTAGCTGAGGTCTTAAACAAATGCTTTGTGTCAGTTTTCACCAAAGGGCAGGGAGTGTAGAGTTTCTAAGCCACATTTTTTTAAAGAAGGATGAGGTGTTGTGCGCCTTTTAAAGTATTAAGATAGAAAGATCCCATTAGGACCTTGGGATCTATCCTGGAATATTGAGGGAGGCAAGAGAACAAATTGGAGCATTGACAAACATCTTTGTATCCTGTTCGGCCACAGGTGAGGCCTCGGAGGACTGGAGAATTGCCAGTGCTGTCCCATAGTTTAAGAAGTGTAACAGGGATAATCCAAGAAATTACCGGCCAATGAGTCTCATGTCAGTGGTGGGGAAATTATTGGAAAAGATTCTTGGGGACAAGATCTATACATATTTAGAAGTAAATTGAATATTAGCGAAAGACAGCATGGTTTTGTGTGGAGGAGGTCGTGCCTCACGAACTTGATCGAGTTTTTTGAGGAGGTGATGAAGATGATGGAGGGGAAAGCGGTTGATGTTGCCTACATGAACTTCAGTAAAGCCTTTGACAAGGTCCCTCATGGCAAACTGGTACAAAGGGGAAGTCGCATGGTATCAGGTGAGCTGACAAGATGGAAACAGAACTGGCTTAGTCATAGAAGCAGAGGGTAGTGTTGAAAATGATGCTGTTTGGAATGGGAGCTTGTGACTAGTGGTGTTCCACAGGGATCAGTGCTGGGACCTTTGCTCTTTGTGGTCTACGTAAAATGATTTTTAAGGAAAATGTAGCTGGTCTAAATAGTAAGTTTGTGGATGATACAAAGATTGGTAGTGATAATTATCAGAGGATACAGTAGGATATAGATCAGTGGGAGGCATGGGCAGAAAAATAGCAGATGCAGTTTAATCTGGACAAATATGAGGTGATGATTTTTGGAGGGTCAGGTACAAATGGATATTATATGGTGAATGGCAGAACCCTTAGGAGTATTAATATGTGCAGGTCCACAGATGACTAAATGTGGCAGCGCAGGTAGGTAAGGTAGTTTTTTTAAGAAAAGGCACATGACATGCTTGCCTTCATTGGAAGGGGCATTGAGTATAAGGATAGACACGTTATGCTGCAACTTTAAAACTTTTGTTAGGTTGCATTTGGAATATTGTGTACAGCACTGTCACCTCACTACCAGAAGGATGTGAATGCTTTGGAGAGGGTACAGAAAACGCTTAACAGGATGTTGCCTGGTATAAGGGATTTTAGCTATGAAGAAGAGTTGGATAGACTGGGTTTGTTTTCCTTGGAATGCAGGAGGTTGAGGGGCGACCTGATGGAAGCTTATAAGATTGAGTGGCATGGATACAGTAGAAAGTATGACGTTTTTTCTGAGGGTGGAGGATCAATTACCACACAACAAGTTCAAGGTGCGGGGGGGGCGATGTTTAAAAGAGATGTGCAAGGCAAGTTTTTCACACGGTGAGTGCCTGGAACGTGTTGCCGGAGTTGGTGGTGAAAGGAGACCCAATAGCAACATTCAAGAAGCACCTGGATGAATACATGACTAGAAAGGGAATAGATGAATATGAATCCTGTCAGTGAAGACAGTTTCAGTAGGGAAGGGCAAAATATGTCGGCGCAGGCTTGGAGGGCTGAAGTGCTGTTCCTGTGCTGTTGTTCTTTGAACAGTCTCCTTTTGCACGACAATAATTCAGTGATTATTCAATATCCATAGGTGTTTGTGGAGGAGTCAAGGGCTTTGGCTGTGATTTGTCTGCAGAGCTTTACAGTCACCTTACTGGATGAAAGTTGATGAATTATTTACATCTAACTTTAGCTTTGGGTTGTTTCTATCTCATGTTCCTTTTTATTTGACACACTATCTACTTTTTTTTTAAAGCCTGGGATTGAGTGTCATTTGCAAAGTAATTTCTCCCAAAGAGAAATATAAGTGGAAACAGTATTTGGTTAAAAAGGAAACTTACCTGCTGAAAAAAATTGAAATCTGTAAATAATCATGACTGTTTGTTTTGCCTTAAATAAAGGAGTTAGCTTTATTTGCCAAGCTGACTTTTCATGTTCCTATCATATTCAAAACTGGAATCAGTGATACTGGAATTACACTTGTAGCCTTTTGCATGAAACTAAGCTACATAGTTGTAAACAACCTGATTTTGACCTTATGGAACATGACCTGTCAATTAGTAGTTGCTGTTAATTAAGCATTAATATTTTTGAGTTTTCCAAAGATTGAATGTATATTTGAAAATTTGCATGGATGGGTTTGTGGTTACAGAGCCTTCTGGTATCTTTGTGAAAAGCATAACTCAAGCAAGTGCGGTTGAACAGGATGGAAGAATACATGTTGGTGATCAGATAATAGCTGTACGTACAATTTTTATATGGAGAAAACTTTTAATTTTCCTAAGATACGTAGTAAGCTATGTAAAATCTAGCCATGTTGCAATTCTGCTTGATGCCCATACTGGGCAATTCTGACACCAGAATGAAACCTGGCTTAATTGATCATAGATTCATTTTTACAGTTGGTTACTGCGAAGCTTAATCATTGGGGGGCAAAAAACGCATTCACGTGAGGCTACAACAGCAAAACAGAATTTCACCTGTTTTCCAATAATATCTGTTACAAATGCTCAGATCCCAGGAACATATAACTCCTATCTTAACTCTGAATTTTGTATTTATCTGACTGTTCAGTTTTATGACTGCTTTTCAGTTCTTGTTCTTGGACTGCTACCCAAAACCTTGTTTTGAAGTTGTCGGAACTGAACTTTCTATCAAAATTTTCATTGTTTAGAGGTTTCAGTCACTTAAAAACCCTCTGCCAAGGTGACTGGCCCTCTTGAATTGAAAGCACGATCCTCCTGCTAGGAGGAAGCTGTTCTCCCTTCTGAACGAAACTCCTAATTATTCTGAACTGAAGTTAAAAGCTAAACTGTCGGCCTTTGTTCTGTTTTTATTCCCTGTCATTATGTTCATCATCCTGCTAATCACTTCACTGGATCACATGCCTTGGAAATGATGTACTTGAGCCACTGTTTCTAATGACTTACTGACCTTCTGAAAATGCAACAATATCTACAGAATGGCAGCTACACTCTGACTCCGTTTTGAAATTCCAAATTCTAAATGTATGATACACATTCATCATAATGAGAAAGTGATCTAATTTCTTTAACTGATGCTCAGCCAAGTGAAGTAAATACATCTTATTTTAATCTAAAACTACATTGCTTGAACAAATGTATTTTATAAATTTAAACATCTTGATTAAATGATATTGTTATATTAAAAAAGGAAGTATGTATATGTAAAGGCTGCCCTTTTCATGTCTAAACTGTGATTGTCATCTAACATGTGATCAGAATATTTAACATATGGGCATTTTTGGCAGTGCACTCTTCATGCCGCGATAGCCGATGCAACTAACTTGACTGATGATTCTATGCAATTCGAAATCTATAAATTTTAAAACAAAAAGACGACCATATCAGCCAGCTTGCCCATTCTTCTTTTGGTGAGACTACCATTTCAATATGGTAGACTATTTTAGTTGTAATTTGGACAATGTAGTCTAAATCTGTTTCCATTCTAGGTGGACGGAACAAATATTCAAAGCTTCACTAACCATCAAGCAGTGGAAATGTTGCGTCACACTGGCCAAACTGTGCATCTTATTTTAATGAGGAGGGGACTTGAACCAGAAACTTTGACACAGCCTGAGTGCAAAGATGAAGTAAAACCTGAAAAGTGTGGAGATGTCCTCACAATAGATAATAAACATGCTTCAGGTACATTGGTCCCTGCCTGCTTCACGAATTTGACTTGCTGTTGTAACCAGTGCTTGAGTTTTTGTGTTGTTCTAGAAACAGTTAAGAACTCTAAGTAGATAATTTGGTTAAAGTTGTGTTCATCATAACCAAGCTGAAGATGCAGAAGCAGTTTCTCATTTTAAGTATATTTAAAACCATATTGAGGGATCATTTAAAATAGATGAAAGAATTTAAATGTGAGTAGATGTGCATTAAAGCAAAATACCAATGAGAGTTGACTTTGCAATAACCCGGTCTTTTTGAGGAATGAAAATTGAATGTTGCCAGTTTGATTGTTAATTTTGGGGTTTTATGTATTGTGGGAATCTATGATTTTAAACATAAGCACATCATTTGTTTCCCTTCATGTTAATGATCTCTGTAGCAATGATTGAAGATTCATCAGCTTTGGTGAATTGGATTTCAAATACTTCATCTGTTGCTGAGCAAGGAATTGAAGCTGAAAGTGAAACCAGGTTCACAGCAGGTACAGATTATCCTGTGCGAATGCTTCATTTGGAGAGTTATTGTAAGGTACCGGATTAAACTATAGCATGATTTGAAGATTATAATTGGACATCTTTGCTGTGTATGCCAGCAGTTAAATGTGTGGCAGATATTGCCTCTCTCTTTACAAAATGCAGAGTAGTAAGCATTTTAAAATAGGTAGAACTTCCATCCTATACTCGGATATTTTGGCAAATTAGTGGCGTTGGCCTTGAAACAAAGTTCCTTCGCTGAACGTGACACCTGTTATTTTGTGGTGGTGGGTTGCATTTTGCGGAGACAGCTGCCTCACGTTTGGTTCCACACACCTGGTTCACCAAAATCAATGTGAATAGATTACACTTAATAGAAACTGCTTTGTACTTCATGGATTCATTTGCGTAGCTAGGGTACCCTCTTGGAAAGTTAAGATATGGTCATGGGATGCCGTTAGGACAAGTTAGTTGTTCCTTGAGAGAACTAAGGTATTATTTCACGTGTAGGTTGGCATGCAATGTATGAAGGACTATGGGTCAGGTAAGTGGGGGCATGAGGTTGGCATTGGTAACGTAATGGGAAGTAGGGGGTTAGGTTTTTGTACTTCGGATTCAAGGCCAAAAATTCAGATCCGAGTTTTTAAAATGAAGAATAAATTCTGCTCTTGTCTGAAATTGAGCTTGTAAGATGTTGCATCAACCTTTTTCATTTATTGTACTGGTCATTTCAGATTTGTAATTGAACTGCTGATTGTTTAACTTGAAGAATCATTTATTTTATCGTTGAAATCAGTCTATACTGTTTATTGTACTGCACATTGTGGCAAGCAAGAGAGGAAAAATATTTGCTAGATAAATTTTATTGAATTGAAGAATTTGTTAATCTAGTGACTGAAATGCTCAATATTTATAGAAGCAGATAGCAAATGCAGAATAGCATACATTCTTTCGATGTATAGTTTTGAAAGAAAGCTTTTTTTTTGTTAATATTCATGGAGTGATACAAACCTTAAAATAAAATTTGTTTTATGAATCCTTCTTCATTCCAGGCTTTCAGCTGAACTCATCAGAAGAGGAAAGACTTTGTGTTAAATGGCAGGATATTCTTGGAACTAACTCTCAAATTGTGGTATGTAAATGAAAAATATACCTATTGCATTTCAGTTAAGCATTTGTGAGCATAGTCAGCTTATAACCTACTGTCAATTATCACAAAGTATTTTCCGAGAAGTCCTTTTCAGATGCAGTATAATCCTGATCAATCAATTTTCTTTAGAACCATTTCATATAAAATTTGTTTACGACAGCAACATGAAATAAGCTCTTAGTAAATTGGCTGCTGATTTTCCACCCACTTTTTCATTGACTTGAAAAATATTGCCCAGGTTTTTTGATTTGAAGCTAAGTATTAGAAAAAAAATTGATTGGAAAATAAGTCTCCAAAATGGGCCATGGAGAGATGGATAAAATGGCATGGTTTGTTCAGGAGGGTGTGAGAGGTGAAGGGGTACATGGATATTTTGGCATAGGTTGGCATGGAGGGTATGAGCAGGATGATGTGAAGTAATGTGTAGGTTTGCCTTTGAATGCATAGGGGGCATAAATTAGAATGAATTGATAAGCATAAGATACAGTGTCTGTGTGGGACGGAGGGGGACATGGGGGCTACGTTGTTTTCTCAGTTTTTTTTTTTTAAATGGATGGGAGTGTTAACACTGAGGCTGGCCTTTGATACAGGCCGCCTTTTGTGTCCAGCAACCCCTATGATCAGACACTGAAAATTTGTTTGCTAATTTCCTCCAAGTCCTGTTTTTTTTTTCCGCAGGAAAAAACTAATTTTAGTCCCATTGACTTTAGTCTCCACCACATACTCCCTCCATCAGTCAGCAGCTCCATCCCTCTCCCTGGTCGGTGTGTAAAGCTGAACCAGACTTTGCATGGTGTCCTACTTGATTCTGACATGAAATTCTGATCACTTTTTTTTCCTTCTGTATTATCCGGATTGCCTGTACCCAACTCAATAGTATCATGCATCTCCATTTCTGCCACACTTGTCATCAGCTGAATCCCTCATCATTGCTTCCATTATCTAGACTTGACTACTATAGTGCTCTTCTGGTTTGCCTCCCATCTTCCATCTGTCACAGTAGAACTTTTGGAAGAGTTAGTTTATCTATTTTAACTTGCACTATGACCCTTTTATCCATTACACCATGTTTATTGTCCTAAAGTTGATTGCCTATCTGGCAACACTTTGCTTCTCCAAATCTGGTCTCTTATGCGTCTCGTAGTTCAATCCCTCTACCATAGATGACATGTCTTCCATTGCCTGAGTCCTAGCTTAGAGTTTAATACTGAGCCACATAAATAAGTGCTATAGTAGAGGATAAAAAAATGTGATTTTAAAAAGGTATATTTTAAAGAAAACCTTAAAAGGATGTCAAAAACTCAGTAGACAATTTTGATAACCTTCCTGTGAAATATCTTGGAGATCTCTTAATTAATGTTACAATGTGCGTACATGTTATTGGAGAATACTATGCTGCTTATGTTAATTTTTTTGAACTACTATTCATAGTTAATGTAGTTAAGTTGATAACAAAAATAATTTAATGGAGGTAAAAGTGAAGAAATAACTGACTTTATGGCCATCAAAGTTTGGACACCCAGAGCATAGCCAACTCGTTGCGCTAATATTCTAAAATGTTACAATTTATACAGCATTAGTTCATTTCAATCATTCATTTTTGGCTTGGAATTTTTTTAAAGATAATCAAAAATAATAGGTTGTGCTACACATTTGATTTGTCAGGTGACTCAAGTAACAAAGTTCAGTGAAAGTAGTGGCCTTGGTATAAGTTTGGAAGCCGCTACTGGGCATCATTATATACGTTCCATTCTCCCTGAGGGACCCGTGGGATGTAACGGGAGACTGTATAGTGGAGATGAGCTATTAGAGGTAAGTTTTTAAATTTGGTTTGCATTGTAGATATTGTTTGTGTTACTTGTTACTTGTTTTTTGTGATTCCAGATACCTTATTTGAGTGTGGCTGAAAAAGACTTCATAACACAAATGATAAGTATAGGAGTAGGCTGTTCAACTGCTCGAGCAAATTGCACCATTCTGTATGATCGTGGCTGATGTTGAGCTCAATGACCTAATTCCATGTGCTCCCGAAATAAAAATCCCTTGATTCTTTCAGCCACAAGCTATATCTACCTCCTTGAAAACACACAGCATTTTGGTTTCCCTGTGGTACTGACTTCCACAAGCTCGCCACTGAAGAAATCTCTTCAGTCCTAAAAGGTTTATCCCTTATCTTTAAACTATGATCCCTGGTTCTGGACACTCTCACCATCAGGAACATCCATCCTGCATTCTAAACAGTCCAATTCCTGTTTGAATTTTATAGATTTCTATTAAATTGTCCCCCCCTTCTATTCTCATCTCCAGTGAATACAATCTGAACTAACTCAGTCTCTCCTCGTATGTCAGTATGCCATTCCAGGAATCAATTTTGGCAAACTGTTGTTGCTCTCCCTCTGTAATAAGAACATATATTGTGAATAGCTGGGGTCATAGTCCTAATACCTGGTACCCCTCTAATCACTGCTTTCCATTCAGGACAAAACCTATCTTTGTTTTATGTCCGCCAACTAATTTTCTACCCATCTCCATACACTTCCTTAATCCTATGTGCTTTCATTTTAGGCATTTATCTTTTGCACTCTTTCAAAAGCCTTCTGAAAGTCCAAATAAACCACATCCACTGACTCCCCGATCAACTAAATTAGTAACATCCATGAAGAATTGCAGGAGATTTGTCAGGCATGATTTCCTTTTCCTAAATCCATGCTGCCTGTGTTTGATTCTGTCACTGTTTTCCATCTGCTCTGCCTCAAAATCCTTGATAATGGACTCTTTCCCACTCTTGATGTGAGATTCACTGCATTATAATTCTGCCTTCTCTCTCCTTCCTTTTTAAATAATCATGTTTCATTAGCAACCATCTGATCTGTAGGAACTATTCCGATTCTAAAGAATCTTGGAAGATGACCGCTAATGAATCTATTATTTTTAGGGCCACTTTCTTAAGTACTCTGGGATGTAGTTTATCAGGTCCTGGTGATTTATCAGTCTTCAATCCGATCAATGTCTCCAAACACCATTTCTCTACTGATAGGGTTGCTTTAGTTCCTTCCTCTCACTACAACCTGTGTTTCTTATAATTTCTGCTATATTATTCATGTCCTCCTTCGTGAAGGCAGTGTTGTATGAATTTAGTTTGTCAGCTGTTCCTTTGCTCCCCATTATAAATTCTCCCATTTCTCACGGTAAGGCACATGCCTTAGTTTTCACCAGTCATTTTTTCTCATTTATGTACCTGTAGAAACTTCTGCAGTCAGTTCTTATGTTCCCTGCAAACTTATTCTCATACTTGATTTTCCCCCTCCTTAATCTATCCCTTTGGTCCTCCTTTTGCTGACTTCTCAGAAATCCTCCAGGTCTAGTGTTCTCTTGTTACCAATTTGTATTTTTTTTTTTGCTTCTGTTACTATAACCAACTCACTAATAACCCATGGTTTAGCCATTACTCGCTTTTGCATTCTTCAGCCAGATAGAAATAAATAATTTTTGTAGTTCACTGATTTCACTCTTTGGATAGGCAATGGCAAACGTTCAATGTCATTCCTTTCAATGATGCTTGCTGGCCCATCACAACAAGCTCATGCCTCATAATATTGTAAGTTCCCTTTAAGATTCATGACCTAGTCTCACTATCAACTACCTCCGTCTCCGGCTTGATGAAGAATTTTATTATATTACAGCCACTTATCCCTAAGGGGTCTCTCCCAACTACATTGCCATGGGAAAGGAATAATTGGTATAATACCTAGTCTAAGATGGCATGTGCTTCAGTTAGTTCTCTAATGTATTGGTCCAGAAACCCATCCCATTTACACTGTGTAGGAATTTCTCCCCTGTGTTATGTAACTGATTTGATGCACCCAAACTATATGCAGATTTATTGTCACCCATAATTACAGATTCTCCTTTATGACATGCATCTCTGATTTCCTGTTTGAAGCCATTTCCAATATCAGTACAAGTGGTGGTCTATCTAGCACCCCCACTAAGATTTGCCTTTTGATTTCTCGATTCTGTTGACAGAGTCTGTTGTCTGAGCTAATTTCATTCCTCAATATTGTGTTTCTATCTTCTTTAATGCAACTCTGCACCTTTCCCTTTTTTTGCCTGTCCTCGTCAAACATTGAATACCCTTAGATGATCAGTTCCCATCCCTGATCACCCTGCAGCCATGTCTTGTTAATCTCAACCATTTCATACCCAATTACATGTGTACATATGATTAATTCATCTACTAGAATGTCCCCTGCATTCAGGTGCCAAGCCTAAACCCTTTTTTTTAAAAAAAAATTATTGTCCCATTCCTACTGGTTTTTCTTTACTGTGACCATGTTTGAATCTGTTCTTTGATTCCTCTGCCCATCAATTTTATTTCCCTTTTGTCTTTTGTGCTTGTCCTTGCTTTCTCTTTCTCTGACTCCTTGCATGGATTCCCCTTTTCCTTGGTATTTGGCTTAAAATCTTCCCAGCCACCGTAGCAAATACGTCCCCTTGGGCATCAGTCCTGATCCTGCCCAGGTGTAACCTGTCCAGTTTGTACTGGTCCCAATACCCCAGGAATCTGAAACCCTCCTCTCACACCATCTCTTTAGCCCTGGTGATCATCTCACTGAGGGTGGCACGGTAGCTCAGTGTAAAGCACTGCTGTCAAGGACATGATTCCAGCCTCTGCGACAGTGCACAGACAGACATTATCCCCATGTCTGAATAGGTTTCTTTCATGTGATATGGTTTTCTCTTCGCTGTGCTATGTTGCCCGTAGTGTCCAAGGGTGTACCAGTTACGTGGATTAGCCATGGGAATGGCAGCCTGATAGGGTAGGGGGTGGGTCTGATTGGGATGCTCATTGGAGGGTCAATGTGCACTTGATGGGCTGATTGACCTACTTCCACACTGTAGGGACTCTGATTCTTTGTTTGATATCTGCCTGCTATTTTCTACTCTTACCAGCAGGGTGGCACTGGTAGTAATTCTGACATCACTGCCTTTCTTGAGATCCTACATTTTAGCTTGCTTCCTAACTCTGCTCTACTCTTTGGACCTCATTATTTTTTTAAAAATTCACTGTCATTGATATCACTGTGTACCACATCGCTGGCTGTGCGCCCTTCTCTTCCAGGATGTCCTGGAGCTGCTCTGAAACCTCCTTGACCTGAGCTCCACGGAGGCAACATACCATGCTGGAGTCTCGTTTACAGCCACATAAACACCTGTATATTGACTTTAAAATTGAATCCCCTGTACCTGTTGGATTTCAGCACATTTTTTTTGTTCCTTCCCTGTGGAGCAGAGCCAACTGTGGTGCCACGGATTTGGCTGTTGCAGTTTTTATCTTAAGGGCTGTTCACCTCCAGTGGTATCCAAAGCAGCACAGGGGAAAGGCCAGAAGTGATTCCTGAGCCATCTGCCTCGTTCTCTTACTCATCCTGATGGACACCTATTCACTTTTTGTCTGTGGAGTCTTAGCCTGCATTGTGACCACCCCTTTCTATATGTGCTGTCCATAATTCTCTCAGCTTTGTGGATGCTCCACACTGTCCCCAGCAACTGCTCCAGCTCTGAAAGACGTGCTTACACGAATTGCAGGTGGAGACACTTCCTGCAGACATGCTGAGCACTGGAAATGTATTTGGCTTCCCACACAGAGCAGGAGGAACGTGGTTTAGGGCACTCCTGTCAAGACTTGCCCGTTTTAATGTAACTCTGAAATAGTAAGAACTGCCGATGCTGGAGTCAGAGATAAGTGTGAAGCTGGAGGATCACAGCAGGCCAGGCAGCATCAGAGGAGTAGGAAAGTTGATGTTTTGGGTCGGGACCATCTTTTTTCTGAGGAAGGGTCGAAACGTCAACTTTCCTGCTCCTCTGACGCTGCCTGGCCTACTGTGTTCCTCCAGCTCCACACTAAAGGAGTAACACCATGTAAACCTTTGGAAAGATGCTGACTATCAAATAAAAGCAATTTCTCTGGGACCCTTTTATAACTGTTCTTTTTTACTACAAAATTAAGCTCTTAGAAATTATGAACCACAAAGACCTAATAAAATATAAGCGATTAAAAAATAATAAACATTTACTTGAACTTAGCAATCAGTTCTCTTTCAATACTCCTTTTTTATTTCAGAAATATACTTTATTCATAATCTATAAATAAGTACAAAACAGGTCGGCACAGACTTTGCAGAAAGTAAAGTGGAATTTTGACTCATTAAATTCCATTCAGTCGCAAAGACAGGGCATTTTCTAATTATGCAACAAGCAGTTTATATTTGCATTAACGTTATGAGGGTATCTCAAACTTAACAGACTCTCATTATATTTGCTGGAAAGACCCCACACTATGGTCTTTCCCCACTGCACCTTTGGTGGCAGCTGCTCCAAGGTTTAGTGTCTTCCTCAGCACGTAGTCTTGGACCTTGGATTATGTAAAGTCTGCAACACTAGGATGAGGTAAACGCTTGACAATGGAAGATGAACAAATTTCCAGCAGACTGAAAAGTATCCTTTGGTGAGTTGATGATCCTCCACACGCAGTTGGTGTTTGCCTCGGTTTCCCCCAGGGAACTGCTGTACAACACAGAAATCTGCATCATGGATCTGTTGGGATGAACCTCAACAAAAACCATTTACATCTTTCTCCAGACCTTCTTTGCAAAGCCACGTTTTAGAACAAGATGCGTGGCAGTCTCTTTGCCTGCACGGCCACTAAGAAGCCAACATGCAGTAGCTCAACGACTGACTGTGCATGAAGAATTGCCCTTTTTAGTCACGCGCATGACATGGGTTGCTCCTGGGGTCGCGTACATGACATGTGGGTTGCTCCTGACTTGATATCTGTAATGGAACATGTTTGGCTAGGGGAATGACAAGTTCTGGAGCTCACATCTTCAGTACTACTGCTGGAGTGTTTTCAGTGCCCAAAGTCTTTGCAGTATGAATTGCCTATAGCTGCTTTGTCATGTTATATTGAATCATAATTGGCTTGAGATTGGCATCTGTGCTGTTAGGTCCCCAAGAGGAAGCTGAGATGGATCATCCACTCTGTAATGCTGGCTGAAGATTATTGAAAATACTTTTTTGCACTGATCTGCTGGGCACTTCTATCATTTGAGGATGGTATATTTTTGGAGCTGCTTTCTCCAGTGCGTTGTTTTGTCTACTACCATTCATGAGTGGATGTGTCAGGATTGTTAGCTTGGATCTAATCCATTGGTTGTGACATCAGTTGGCACTGCCTGCCGCTTGCTGTTTATGCTGTTTGGCATGGAAGTAGACCTGTTAAGTAGCTTCACCAGGTTAACGTTATATTTTTGGTATACCTAGTGTTGCTCCTGACATGTGCCACCCTGCCACAGCGCTCTCCATTGAACCAGGGTTCATCTCCTGGCTTGGTGGTAATGGAAGAATGTGAGCTATGGGATAAGCTGGGCCATGAGGTTGCAGATTGTATTGGAATTTGGAAGAGAAGAGAAGAGACCCTTCGGCCCACGATGTTGTGCCAAATGTTTACCCTAAACCTAAGGTCTATCTAACCTCCACCCCTATCTTATACTATCATCCATATGCCTGTCTAATAGTCAGTTAAATGCCCCTAATGAGGCCGACTCCACTACCCTCTCTGGCAATGCATTCCACGCTCCTATCACTCTGAGTAAAGAACCTACTTCTGACGTCTCCCCTAGATCTACCTCCGCTCACTTTAAAACTATACCCCCTCGTAATAACTACCTCCACCCTAGGAAAAAGTCTCTGGCTGTCCACTCTACCTATACCTCTGATCGTTTTGTACACCTCTGTCAAGTCACCTCTCATCCTTTGTCGTTCTAAGGAGAAAAGCTCTAGCTGTCTCAACCTTTCCTCGTAAGACCTTCCCTCCATTCCAGGCAACATCCTGGTAAATCTCCTCTGCACCTTTTCCAATGCTTCCACATCTTTCCTGTAATGAGGCAACCAGAACTGGACACAATACTCCAGATGTGGCCGAACCAGGCTTTTGTATAGCTGGAGCATAACTTCACTCTTGAACACAATCCTTCTATTAATGAAAGCTAACACGCCATATGTTGTCTTAATAACTCTATCTATCTGGGTGGCTGCTTTCAGGGAACTGTGGACATGAATCCCAAGATCCCTCTGCTCCTCCACACTGCCAAGCATCTTTCCATTAATCCTGTATTCAGCTTTCAAATCTGTCCTTCCAAAATGAATCACCTCACGCTTTTCAGGGTTAAACTCCATCTGCCACTTCTCAGCCCAGCTCTGCATCCTATCAATGTCCCTTTGTAACCTGGAACAGCCCTCCGCAATATCCACGACTCGACCCACCTTTGTGTCATCCGCGAACTTACTAAACCACCCTTCCTCCAAATTATTTACAAAAATCACAAGTTGAAGAGGACCCAGAACAGATCCTTGTGGTACACCACTCGTAACTGAGCACTATGTTGAATATTTTCCGTCCGCTACCACCCTTTGTCTTCTAAGGTCAGCCAATTCTGAATCCAATCTGCGACATTTCCCCCTATCCCATGCCTCCTTACCTTCTGCATGAGCCTACCATGGGGAACTTTATCAAACGCCTTACTTAAATCCATGTATACCACATCCACTGCTCCACCTTCATCCACGTGTTTGGTCACCTGTTCAAAGAATTCAATAAGGTTTGTGAGGCATGATATTACCCCTCACAAATCCATGCTGAGTATCACAAATCAAACTGCCTCTCCAAGTGATCTTAGCGGGAATTTGATTCGGTTGCTATTGGTAGCCCACAGTGCTTCATGGATGCCTAGTTGTAAGTTGCTAGATCTGTTTGAAGTCTGTCCAATTTTGTTTTAGCACAGTGAGTGCCATACAACAGCACAATTGGAGGGTATTCTTGGTTTTAAGGTGGGGTTTTCATCTCCACAAGGGTTGTATAGTGGTGACTCTTACCTATACTGTCATGGAAAGATGCACCTTCAGCAGACAGATTGTTTAGGATGAGCTAAAGTATGTTTTTCCTCTTGTTATTTCCCTCGTCACCTGCCACAGGTACAGTCTAGCAGCTTTGTCCTTTTACGACCTGATCGGCTCGATTAGTAGTGTTTGATGGTAGACATTGCAACACAGATTTTGAAACCACATTTTGTGCTTTTGCCATTCTTGGTGCTACCTGCAAGTATTGCTCAATATGGAGGACTACTGACTCATCAGCTGAGTGTGGAGGGTGAGTGGTAATCAGCAGGAGTTTTCCTTACCCATGGTTAGCGTGATGCCATCAGTCTTCTTGGAGTCCAGAGTCAATATTGAGGACTTGGGGCAATTCCCTCATAACTGTATACCTCTCTGCTGCCACCTCTGCCGGCCCTCTCGTGCTCCCTTGGGTGTCTCCCTACATCCAGGAGCCCCCTCCCAATAGCCCCTTTTTAACTTGAGACCAAGTTTGCCCAGAAAAGCAAAAGTGAAGGCTATAATAGAACACCTTGTTCCTAAAACTAGATGTGGGATCATGAGATGTATAGGAGAGTGTAATTTTCTGGTAATTTGTGTGTAACTTTCCTGTAATAATGTTTCTTTAACACATCTAAGGAAAGAAGCAAGTCAGTTGAATGCTTGATTGACAATCTTAGAAGTCGAAGGCATCCCAATTTTTCCAAACCTTTAAAATGGTGATTGATGATAATGATTTAAGTGTTCATATTGCAGATGTACGAGTTGCTAATAGAGAAGCTAATGGAGTAGTTTTCCGTGAAACTAAGTCTACTAGAGAAAGTATTCTGCCATAGAAAAGGAGACTTTGAGATTGTTATTGGCTCTTCAACACACAAAAGACTATGTCCATCACGATAGTAAAGCACCATTAATCAACACTGACATAATCAACACTGACATAATCAAATGACAGTCACTGAAAGGTTTAAAATTCAAAATACGAGACTATTCTGATGGAGTCTGTTGTTATAACCATTTTAATATAAAGATCATTCACATTGCCGTAAAAGATACAATGATATCAGATGCAATGTTTAGAATGTTTAAAATGCTGAGCTTAAAATGATAAAATAAGTTCTAAATTTAAGAATTGCTAAATGGTTATGGAGAATTCTTGTAAAATGGGGGAGGGAAGGATGAACTGATGTAGCCTCATCTTTGTAACATTGTCATATACTTTGTAACAAAGCACTTTTTGAAATGGTGTTTCATCCATTTGAAAGGTGGGGCCATGTAAATACCTGTTTTTTTTTATTTTTAGCAGTTTTAAAACTTTTTTCTCATTTTTAGTCTGCAGTCAAAGGTACAGAAAAATTAAATAGCGCAGTCTTTATTTCATAGAGCAGCATACCCTCTAATTTAAAAGGAACAGCTATTTATAACCACATGATCAATATACTTTCAGTTTAGTGTTTGTCTCTCATAATGCTGTTAGTTTTTGTTAGAGTTTTAAATAATCATCTCTTTAATATTAAATTTGTTGAATAAATTCAGGTAACTAAGATGAAAATATAAGTATCAGTATTCCAATTGACATTGTTGCTTTTAGTTCAAGTATATTTTGGAATTAACTTGGTTCTCCTGTTTTTTAGGTGAATGGAATACCACTCCTTGGTCAGAGCCACAAAGATGTTGTCAGTATACTAAAAGACTTGCCTATCAGTGTCACCATGATCTGCTGCCGCCCAATCCTGAAGTCCAAGAAGGAAACTGATGTAGATCATATGGTTCCTATAGAAGAACCCATTCAGTCAATAGAGGAGGTATTGTAGTGATAGCATCTAACAAATTTAAAGAACTGTAGATGCTGTAAATCAGGAACAAAAACAAAGTTGCTGGAAAAGCTCAGCAGGTCCCCAGTTCTGAGGAAGGGTCACCGGACCCGAAACGTTAACTCTTCTTTTTTCCCCTTCACAGATGCTTCCAGACCTGCTGAGCTTTTCCAGCAACTTTGTTTTTGCATCTAATAATTAATTTGTTTGCATTGTGGTTGTTAAGATACCTTTACCAGCTTTTCCACAAAACAACTACCTACTTACGCTCACTTGTGTTTTACGGTCTTCAGAATAGATCACTTGTCATCGAACTCTAAACATTGTATGAAATGGAAAAGTAAAGGTTACATTGATTGCATGAATAATCTGAATGTAAATATGAGATAATCGAGCATTCTTTTGCTGATAATCATTTCTAATCATTTTGAACTCTGTTTCCCTACATCTAGTGCTGTTGTGCACAAAGCGCTCTTGCTCACAAATTTGAATTAAGTGTATGTGCTTATTCAAAAACTGTTTAAAATCTGTATTTGGCGTTGAGATATTGGGATTGAGAGATTTATGTTCACACGTTTTGGAAAAGAAGCTTGTATAGTCTTCGCATAATGGCCTCATTTATTTATTGTCTACATTGTGTTGAGTGCTAGGAGATTATTTATGGAGGGTGCGCTCCCTGCACCATAACAACCCAGCTTGCTGCTGACATTAAAGGGAGAGAAATTTGTTTTTACCCATACTTCAAATTGGAGCAGCAGTTAAAATGGTCTTAATGTAAATAAACAAAGCACTGTTGGGTGCACACAAAAGTTTTACTTGACCACCTTTAGTTTCATGTACTCAATTGACCTAATAATCCACCTGTCTAAAATTATACATTGTTTGAGAGTAAATATTTACGACATTGTTGAGAAGTTTGAACCATAAATGTACTTTTATTTGGAAAAATGTTCTTAATTTCTCTCTCGTTCTTGCTCTAAATGTGAGAGTTCCATTCTATAAATCTATAAAGTTAGAAAATAAACTCAAATGTCTTGAAAGCAAAATACCGTGGATTCTGGAAATCTGAAATAAGATCAGAAAATGCTTTAAGGAAACCAAGTCAGGCAGCATCTGGAGGGAGGGAGTAGGAGAGAGAGAGAAAGAGAAGCAGTAATCATTTCCATTTTGATGACCATAGTAAAGGCCTCTCTTTACAGACACTTGATCTCCATAGCCTGACCTGAAATTTCCCAGCCTTTTCTGTAATATTGTCCTGTCTCCCTTACTAGACACATTTTACAGGATGTCACAAATACAAATCCCCTTACATAATTTTATCCCAATATTCAGTGAGTCATATTTTGGAAGACTGATTAAAATTGCAAAATTTTTAACTTTTGTAGATTTGCATATTATGTTAATAAGGAACAATAATTGTGATGTCCAGTTCGGCCGATTTTATGATCAATTGTTTTGTAGCCATTGGAATTTCTTCATTCATCGGCATCTCTAGCTTGGATTGAGGATCAAACAGAATCCATTGTTGCCCATGGATTTTTACAGGTATGGAATTTTGCGTGAGTTTAATTTTAGTTTGTCAGCATCCACTTTAGTGTATCTCTGGTTCAGGCCACATCTGACCACTATTATTTCTGTGAAGGAAGAAACCATTCAGCCATTGTACCGGAGTCCAGAGTAAGCTATCAGTGTAAACCTGTCAGCTTCAGTCTGCTTGAGTGACCTTCCTCTATTGCCTTTAAAATCTGTTCTATTTAAGTGTTTAGTAAATTCCATCAACCTGATTATGATAAAGCATTCGATGCTTTGAAAGAAAAACACATTAAAATAAGTTTTCAAGCTTGTGTTTTCCTTACTGTTTGTCTGTTTAATGATTCAGCATCTCCTCAACACTGAGGAGACAAATGTAGACTGGGTGATTGCTTTTATGGAACACCTCCTTTCCATCTACAAAAAATGACCCCAAACTTCTCGTTGCTTACCACAACACTGTTTCCATGCCAGTATTTCTGTCTCTGGCCTGCTGCAGTGCCCCAGCGAAACTCGATGCAAGCTGGAAGAACAGCTCCACATCTTCTGTCTAGGTACCTTACAGTCCTCGGGACTTAATTTTGAGTTTAAAAATTTCAGAATGTGAAAACCTTCCTCCAAGTTTGTTACTCGACTACATATGCCTAGTCTTGTTGATGGGTTTCCCTCAGCACAGCCATTTTCAACTATTGGCAATCCCTGTTAGCACCCATTCAGTATTTATCTCTCTCCCAGTTTATCAGCAATCCCTTTGTCTGCTTCACCTCTTTTCCTTTCTCTGTGGGCATGGTCTCTATCTATTAGATTCCTTTTCTCCCCATAGGCCCACCACTGCCATCAGCATAAATACCGCCATTTCCTTATTGCTTTTGGTTCTGATGAAGAATAACTAGATTCGAAACATTACCTCAGCTTTTCTACCTGCAGATGCTGCTAGACTTGCTGAGTTTCTCCACCTTCTTTTTGTTTTGGATTTCTAGTGTCAGCAGTTCTTTGTTTTGTTTAATGATACTCCTGTGGCTTAATTCCTTTCAATGTGAAGTGGTTTAATTCCACTTTAATTGAACAAATGCACGTGGGATAGGAGCGATTGTACTGGGTTCTGAGGAAGGGTCACCAGACCCGAAGAGTTAACTGATTTTTTTCTTTTCTTCACCGATGCTGCCAGACCTGCTGAGCTTTTCCAGCAACTTCTGTTTTTGTTCCTGGCATTAATTATTGGCAAACAAAGAGTAGGGACAAATGGTCATTCTCCCATTGCCAGGCTGTGAGGGGGGTCCTTCAAGGAGCAGTAGTTGTGTTCCTGGCTGTTCAGAATATACATCAATGATTTTAAAGTGTGAAACAAATGTAGTTGTACGGAAGATATGAAGCTGAGTGAGAATGTTTTGTGAGGAAAATGTAAGATGGATTTGGACAGGCTTTGTGAATAGGCAAGAACATAGTAGCTGGAATATAATTTTGGAAAAATGAGTTTATTCACTTTGCAAGGAGAGACTAATGTCCAGGGTATTTCTTAAATGGTATGAGGTTGGAACAACTAGATGTTCAAAGGAACTTGGCTATCCTTGTAAATAAGACCTGGAAAGCTATTAGGAAGGCAATGGAATGTTAGACTTTATTGCAAATGAATTGAGTGCAGGAGCAGAGAAGTCTTGCTTCAGTCGTTTGAGTTTTTGGTGAGATGCAACTTGGCGTAATGGTGCAGTTTTGGAGATGATATTGCTATAGAGTAGTTATCTCTGTCCTTTTCAGCAAAAGACCACTTTTTTTGAATTTAAGTGCAACCAAGAATCTACCCCAAAGAAAATATACAATGAACAGTTTATTTTTAATGCCACATAAATCTAAAGCTTTCACCAAGTCTGAATGTGTCCTCTGACTGCACATTACCTGCCAGTGCATTGAAGTCTGGATTATAGTTTGAGACTGTTTGGTCTTATAGAGTCTATCAAATTGTCGTAGCAACATAGAAATTAGGAGCAGGAGCAGGAGTAGGCAATTCAGCTCATTGAGCCTGCTCTGCTATTTAAAATGATCATGTCTGATCTTATCCTGGTCTGAAGTCTACTTTCCTGCCAGGTTTTCATAGCTCTTTATCCTGCTTTTCTTCAGAAACATCTATTTCTGTCTTGAATCTGTTGATTGATTCTGCCTCCACTGCACTCTGGGCAGTAAGTTCCACAGGTTCACAACCCTCTGAGAAGTGGTTCCTCTTCATCTTAGTTTTGAAACTACCTCCTCTCTCTTCACTATCTGTGACCTCTTATTCTAGGCTGTCCCACAAGGGTGAGTATCTGTTCAATGTCTACCTTATCAATCCCTTAGCTTTTTGTATACCTCAATCAGATTCCACCACCCTCCTCATTCTCCTGAACTCCAACGAGTACAAGCCCAAGCTATTCAACCACTACTCATGTGACAGCCCTTTCATCCTTGGAATCAAAGTGCTGAACCTCTTTTGAACTGCCTCCAGTGCCACTACATCCTTCCTGCAGTAAGGAGATCAAAACTGGGGGCAGCACTCCAGATGTGGTCTTGTGAATACCTTGTATAATTGAACAGCACTTGTTTACTTTTATTATCCAGTCCTTTTGGCCAGGATTCCATTTGCCTTTCTTGTATGTTACACCTGCATACTCACTTTCTGCGATTCAAGCACAAAGACGTCCAGAGAAGTACCCATTTATCCCGACCCTTGGCTTTGTATCAGTCAACCAATCCTCTATCCAAGCCAGTACTCTACCCTACACTGCCTTGGATCTAACCTTCTGAATCAGTCTTTTTTGCAGCATCTTGTTACAGCTTTTTTTTTAAGTCTAGATATACTGCATCCTGTGGGTTCCCATTAACTACTTTGCTGATACTTCCCCCAAAGAAGTCTAGCAACTTGGTTAAGCATGACTTGCCCTACATGAAACCATTGCTGATACTGGTGAATTGAATTTTGGTGTTCTAAGTGTTCAGTTATCTCCTCCTCCTTTATGATTCCCCACTACAGAAGTCAAAATAACTGATTTGTACATGCACGCTTTTTGCCTATCTCCTTTTTTGAATAAGAGTGCTACATTGGCATGTTTCCAATCCACTGATATCTTTCCAGAATCCAGGGAATTTTGGAAAAGTATAACTAATGCATCTACTGTGTCTACTGCCACCTCCTTTAATACCCTAAGGTTCAGGCCATCTTGCCCCAGGCAATCTGTCTTTAACCCCATCAGTTTACTTAATACCTTCTCCCTGTTTATAGCAGTTTCACCAAGTTCCTCTGCAGTAACTGCAGTTCTAGAGAAGAAATTATTATTTTCCACTGAGAAAGACAAAATATTGGTTCAGTGCCTGTGCCATTTCTGTTTCCCATTATCTCCTTGGCTCTTTAAAATGGCAACATTCGCTTGCACTATTTTCTTCCATTTTATGTACTTACAGAAGTTTTGGTGGTTGCAGTGCTTATGTTTTCTCAGTTTTCTTTTGTAGTTTATCTTAACTGTTTTGATTTTGTTTGTAGAATTTTTGCTGACGTTTAAAGTTTTCCCAATTCTCCAGAGTGCCACAAATTTTTTCATTGTGATACGCCATAGTTTTTGCCTTTTTTATTATCCTTGACTTCCTTGTTAAGTCATGGATGATTTTTCACCTTTTTACAATTCTTCTTCGTCTCAGGAATATACATTTAATTGAAAGCTATTTAGAATCTCACTAAGCATTTGCCACTGTTCTGAACAGTCGTGCCCCTTAATATTTTTGCCCAGTTCTCCTTGAGCCAACTCCTTCCTTAGGTCTGTATACTTAACTTTGCCCAATGCTAAAACGCTCATATGCAACTCTGTCTTCACTCTTTCAATCTGATTTTGAAACTCTAGCATGTTGAGGTCACTCCGTCCAAGAAGATCCTGAGCGACAAGACCATTTATCAATCCTTCCTCATATTACATAATATTAAATCAAAAGTAGCCAGTTCTGTGGTTGGCTCGATTACATCTTGCTCTAAGAAACAATCCCTCATACATTCCGTGAACCTTACTTTGACGATACCCTTGTCAATGAATATGCATGTTAAAATCACCCATAATTGCCATTGTGCCCTTCTCGAGCCCTCATTATTTCCTGGTTCATACTACACCCTATTTAGGCGGTACTGTTCGAGGGCCTGTAAATTACTCCTACCAAGGGGTTTCTTCCCTTGGTTTTTATTCCTACAGGGACTGATTCAACACTTTGATCCCTAGTGCCAATATCATTTCTCTACACAGCCTTGATATCATCCTTAACCAATAAAGCAACTCCGCCTCCGCCATCCGCTTGGAATATGCCCGCCCCAGACATTGTAACTCCTGGTCCTGACCTTCCTGTAGCCATTATCGTCATTTGGGAGCACACTGCCTCAGATGTTACGGAGTCAAAGCATTCCCTTTAAAAGATGATAGTGTTTCTTTTCCTCTGTTTACACGTTCCCAAAAGTCGCTGTGCCTTGATCTGTCTTTCAGCTCAGAATCATTTTGCATAGTAATTATCTTAATATTAAATGCACTACTTGGCAAATCAGACACCTGATGGAATTTGTAGCTGACTCATCAATGTCTATTTGAAGGAATGGATTTGAGACAATCATGATGATTTGTTCCATCGCATCTAATTCCTGAAATTGCCTGTTGACTTCCTTTGCTAACTTTCTCAGGTGTGCACAAAAGTTTACTGGGTGGAACCATTTTTCTTTGTCTCTGATTTTTTTTTTTCTTTTCCCTGTTACTTTCTCCAGACTTGGGAGGTGTTGCAGCATTTGTTTTATAATCGAGTAAGATCACAGGTCCAGTTTCAGTTTGGGTGCATCCGCAGCACTGATCGTATGTGTGCAGTCTTTTTCCTTTCCCTGCATTTCACAGTTCAGCTCTTTTATCTGTACAAACTTGAGCAACCACACATCTGGCAGTTCACTGCAAACTTCGTTACTTGACTTAAAAGTGACAATTTCAAGCATCAGATCTAAAAATCGTTACCGGATTTTACCTTGACTTAACTATCTCACAAGCATGAAGAATCACTTCACCATAGGCAGTGAAAAGATTCCGTAACTTTGATTGCTAATCATTGGTGGATTGTACTGTGGTAATTGACAAGAGGGAAAATCGGGATCAGCTTTGCAAGTGAAACAAAGGCTGCATTTCCACTAAGCATGGAACTGGCACAACATCAGTTGTGACAGAAATAAGTTTCTTGGTTGGACTATTCTTCTGAAGCAGATAGCTTTTTGAATTTGTTTTTTGTTATTGTCACCACATGTTCTTTAAGGGGCAAAAGGGTCAGAAGATCTTCTTAGTTTTTATGCGAATGGTTTTTAAACAACTCATTAGCTGGGCTGTGTTAGTCATGTTGATAGATTCACTGAACTGCAGTGAGAAGCATTCATTGCACTTCAGGTTCTACTAGAGTTGTCAAAATAGGTTTTTTGGACAAAGGTTCCGCTCTGCTTGCTACTGTGGATATACCAAATAACATGCTTTAGATTGCTGTTATTATTTCTGTTTTTAAAGTCTTCGAATAAAGAGTCACCAGACAGTCATTGATTGTTTAGTTACTTAGCCATCTGTAAATGTTTTGCCAGAAGATAGCAAATGTGAAATGATGCTTCAGTGCAGACTTTGCCTTTTGCTGCTGGTTAATTTCTGTCTCCCCGCTAGAGGAGAGATGTTAAACTTGAAAGGGTGCAGAAAAGATTTACAAGGATGTTGCTGGGTTTGGAGGGTTTGAGCTATGGTGAGATGCTGAATAGGCTGGGGCTATTTTCCCTGGAGTATCGGAGATTGAGGGGTAACCTTTGTAGAGATTTATAAAATCATGAGGGACATGGATAGGGTGAATAGGCAGGTCTTTTACCATGACAGGGGAGCCCAAAACTAAAGGGGATATGTTTAAGGTGAGAGGGAAAAAGCTTTAAAAGGGGTCTAAGGAACAACTTTCACATAGAGGGTGGTGCATGTATGGAACAAGCTGCCAGAGGAAGTGGTGGAGGCTGGTACGATTACACCATTTCAAATGCATCTGGATAGGTACGTGAATAACAAAGGGTAAGAGGGATATGGGCCAAATGCTGTCAAATGGGACTAGGTTAATTTAGGATGTCTGAGTGGTATGGACAAGTTGGACCATTGGATCTCTTCCTGTTCTGTACGACTCTTGACTCTAAGAAGACAATCACTAATGAGCTTTCAAAAGCCCTTACTATTTTTTTTGAAGAGTGCTGTTTAATGGAAAACTGTTCTTGAAATTATTTTACTCAGGGTTGTGAACCTTTGAAATTCTCTACAACAGAGGCCTGTGGAAGCTCAGTCTTTTGAGTGTGTTGAAGGTAGAGATTGATAGATTTCTGATTTCCACAGGTACACGGGGGATGGGGTGGGTAAAAGGCATTGAACTGTTCATTTCGCCATGACTGTTGAGCAAGGCCAATCTGTCAAAATCCAAGTCCAAAATGTTATAACCCATTTAAACCTTAAATGTTGACTAATTTTGTTTCATGCCAGCTAAGTATCAAATTAAATGCTTTCCATGTAGGGGTTTGTAATAGTTAGGAATTTAACTTGCCAAGAGTTTAATAGACCAAATGTATATTAAAACATTTCTAATGTATTTCTTTTCAGCGTCACATCAATCTAAATGAGATTAATGCAACATCTAATACAGATGATGCTGTGGTGGGTGAAATGGAAAGAAAGCAGAGTGACGTTGAGGCACAGAGTTCTCTGGCAATGTGGGAGTCTGAAATCCAAAACATAGAACTGGAGAAGGGGAGCTCAGGCCTTGGGTTCAGCATTCTGGATTATCAGGTATTTAATTTTGGTCTGTCTCTTCTAGGTTCTATGACGGAGTTGTCAGTTTTGTTTCATTTGTTCATGCGATGTGGGTATTGTTGGCTGGGTCAGAATTTATTGCCCATCCCCAATTTCCATAGACAGGGTAGCCATTATCTGCCTGTTTTTACTGCTGCAGTCCGAGGGGTCATGACACCCACAGTGCTATTACCGAGAGAATTTGAGGACTTTGACCCAGCAACAGTGAAGGAATGGCAACATTTTCAAATCAAGATGATAATCATAGATCATAGAATCCCTACAGTGTGGAAACAAGCCCTTCAGCCCAACAAGTCCACACCGAACCTCCGAGCATCCGACCCAGATCCATTCCCCTGTAACCCACCTAATCTACATATCCCTGAACACTAGGGGCAATTTAGCATGGCCAATTTACCTTGCCTGCACATCTTTGGACTGTGCGAGGAAACCGGAACACCTGGAGGAAACCCCCACAGACATGGAGAGAATGTGCAAACTCCACACAGACAGTCACCCGAGGATGGAATCGAGCCCGGGTTGCTGGCGCTGTGAGGCAGCAATGCTAACCACTGAGCCACCGTGCTGTGGCTTGGAAGGGAATCTTGCAGGTAGTGGTGGTTTCAAGCATCTGTTGCTCTTGTCCTTGAAGATGGTTGAGGTTGTGGGTTTGGAAGGTGCTGTCGGAAGAGCCTTAGTGAATTAAATGCTTTAACAATGGAATATAGGAGCAAACGAACAGGAGTAGGCCATTCAATAGATCATGGCTGACCTGTGGCCTAGCTTCATATGCCAGGCTTGGGCCCATATTTCTTGATACTCTTGCTTAAAAAATTGTTGGTCTCGAATTTTGAATTAGCATCAACCACCATTTTGAGGAAGAGTATTCCATACATCCACTATTCTCTCTTTTCTTTTGTGTCAAAGTTCTTTCTGACATCTCTCCTGAACGGCCTAGTCCTAATTCTGAGACTGTATCCTCTTGAATCTTCAAAGAATGGAAATTGTTAACCTTTTATCAGCCTTGTCTTTCCCTGTTAATATGCTGAAGACCTCAATTAAATAACCTGTTAACGTTCTAAAAGCCTAATTTGTACAATCTCTCCTCATACCTGGATGTCAGACATTAAATTATCATTCTTTGTATACCTGTGCCGAACTCCCTCCAGGGCCAAAACATCCTAAGGCATGGTGCCCAGATTTGTTTTCTGAACTCCAAATAGGTTCTGACTCTAGTGTTTTGTATAACTGCAGCATATACATTTACTCCATTTTATTCCCTATTCTCCAGCTCTTTCGATATGAATGCCAACATTCCATGAGCTTTCTTGACTTTTTACTGCACTTGCTCATGGCATTTTAAAGAGCTATGCACCTGAACCCCAGATCTCGTTGGATATCCGCTGTATTTAACTTTGTGCCTGCTGAACAAAAAATTAGCCTGAACTATCCTTTTTCAGTCTGAAATGGATAATCTCAATTGCTTATTTTAAAATATCTGCCACAGCTTTGTCCATTCCCCAATATCTGTCATTTTATGCTGTTGTCAACACTGTCTATAATGTGGTCCAATTTCATCAGCAAATTTAGATATTTGACTTTTTGTGCCATTTATCCATGCTGTTAATGAATATTGTGAATAATTAAGGCCCTGACACAGATCTCTGTGGGGCACCACTTTTCAAATCCTACTAATTTGAGTACTTACGCATTATTCTAATACTCTGTTTCCTGCCAGTCAACCAATTTCCTATCCATGTCAGTAATTTGCCCTCAATTTCATGGACTCCCAAGTTAGCTAAAAGTCTCTTCTGAAAGTCCATATAAACAACATCCATCAACTTAACTCAGTCTACCACCTTTGTCACCTCTTCAATAAACTAACGTTTGTTAGTCATGACCTACCCTTCATGAATCCATGCTGACTTTCACTGATTAGCTGACATTTTCAAGGTTAATTTCTCTATACTTGATTATAGCGTCCAACAATTTCCCCACCATAGATGTTGGGCTAACTGGTCTCCAATTCCTAGGTTTCCCTTTGCCACTCTTCTCAAAGAGCAGAGTAACACGAGCAAGTTTCCAATCCAGATTAACAACTTCTGAACCCAGGGAACTCTGAAAAATTATGGTTAGGGCTTTGGCAAATTGCTGTCCTACGCCCTTTTGATACAAATGGATGGAAACCATTAGGTCCTAAAGATTTGTTACTTTTCAGTTCTATTAATTCCCCATTATTGATTATTACTTAAGGTAATTTTTATTTATACCTTGATCCTCTCAGTTGTTTTGGGACTTCTGCCAAGCTATCCTCCTTTTTTGCTGTGAAATGCTGAAGCAAAATAATCATTCAGCATATCTGCCATTTCCCTGTGGTCATTGATGATATCTGCATTCTCGGCTGTCAGCGGGCCAATAATGTTCTTAACCAGCCACTTTCCCTTTCTGTCCTTTGTAAGTTTGCTTTCATAACCCTTTTTAACTGCTCCTGCAAGCTACTTTGTAGCCCTTTGCTGTTTGTATTTGTTTCATCCTGTGGGATCTGTACTGTCTAGAAGCTTGTCATGATTAAGAATACCATTTTTCATCAGTCTAATGGACCAAGCAGCCTTTCTTCGTTTGGACTAACTTGTAATTTATTGACTTAAGTTGTTTGTTTTTAAACTTTTTGTTTACTTCCAGGGGATGCTTACAACTTTGTGTGCTTGACTTTTAAATTAGATTTATAGTAGTTTAAATAATTTTTTTTTTGTCTCTTTAGCTCTAAATTATTGATGTTTTTACACTTTTTTAATCTACAGGATCCAGCTGACCCAATGCGAACAGTTATTGTAATTCGATCGTTAGTGCCCAGTGGAGTGGCAGAACAAGATGGTCGACTTCTTCCAGGAGACCGACTCATGTTTGTTAACAACATCAACTTGGAGAATGCTACTCTTGAAGAAGCGGTTCAGGCACTGAAAGGTGCATCAGGAGGCAAAGTTAGAATTGGGGTAGCCAAACCTCTGCCAGTAAGTTGTTTTTTTTCAATGTTGAGTGGTAGGACTGGCGCAAAATTCTGGCATTTGATATGAGTGACAATAACCGAAGCCATTTGGGCAGGCAGGGATAGGAATTTGTTTGTGTCTCGTCTTTTATTTGGGTATAAAATGGGCAAATGTATACTCCTTTCTGCACATGAGCTCTTGTTTCTAATCTGCACCAAATCAATTGGTCTTACTATTTCTGGGCCATTGACTGTGTTTGACTGAAGCATGCAAAGAAGATTTTTTTTTTTGTCCCTGTTCCTGGGTCCTTTTGTAACATGCAAAAATGTAAGTGGAACTTGCACTGCGAAACCGCTTAACTAGTCTTTCCAGTCCTACAATAGCCTTTAAAGGGACCGTTGATCGGGTTGCTGAAGAAATTGTAGAGAGAGTTTTGCTTTTACCTTCCTCTTCTGCAAAGCATGGAAGAAAAGCATAATCTTCCAGTCAATGCAGTGTGGAGCTGGAGGAACGCAGCAGGTTAGGCAGCATCAGAGGAGCAAGAAAGTCGACACTTTGGGTTTACACTCCTTCCTCAGGACATAATCCTCCATCTTGCGACTTGTATTTGAGTTTGTGAAGGCAGATAGTGTGCACAGCGTGAATGCTCAGTGTCTGTACCTTTTTTTTGTTCCCCATTCACTATCTGTTAATAGGAGGTGGTAGAGGCGGGCACGATAGCGTCATTTAAGATGTATCTAGACAGATACATGAATGGGCAGGGAGCAGAGGGATACAGATCCTTGGAGAATAGGCGACAGGTTTAGAAAGAGGATCTGGATCGGCACAGGCTTGGAGGGCCAAGGGCCTATTCCTGTGCTGTAATGTTCTTTGTTCTTTGTCAAGGCCACCTTTTGTACTATATATTTGCAACAAATTCCTGAGATTCATTCTCCCTTTTCATGGTTTCTCCACTGTTGTTGCAGTCATCACCCATCATGTTGCTGTTCCTCTTATCTTCCAAGTCTCCCCAGTCCTGTATTTCCCTTCTTCACCAGGATTCGTCCTTCTTGATCCCATTTCCCAAGTTTCCCTTGAGATAGACTGCCCCAAGTTCTAATCTGTCTTTTTCTCCTTTCGTTGACCCACTGTCTGATCCCTGCAGTGGAGTAGGATTAGAGTTAGGAACTCCAACCAAACCTAAAGATTGCCCTAGAAATATAATTTGTATTTTTAATCTGGTTCTAGTTTAGACAGTCATTTTCTCCTCTTATCCAATTAAACATTATTTGGGGTGGCACGGTGGCGCAGTGGTTAGCACTGCTGCCTCTCAGCGCGAGGGACCTGGATTCAATTCTACCTTCGGGCGACTGTCTGTTTGGAGTTTGCATGTTCTTCCCATGTCTGCGGGGGTTTCCTTCGGGTGCTCTGGTTTCCTCCCACAGTCCAAAGATGAGCAGGCAAGGTGGATTGGCCATGCTAAATTGCCCGTAGTGTTCAGGGATGTGTAGATTAGGTGGGTTATAGGGGGATGGGTTTGGGCGGGTGCTCTGAGGGTCAGTGTGGACTTGTTGGGCCGAGGGGCCTGTTTCCACACTGTAGCGAATCTATGATCTATGATCTAAAAGTTCCAGTTCAGTTTTGCATATGACAGGCAAGTGGAAATCTAACATGAGGTGACATGTTTTCTTCATAGCCGCTGCTATGTTTTTAATATTGTAGTACCATTTAGCATAATGCTGTTTTGTTAACTGCAGTTACTTAGCCACCGAGAGGCTGCAGCTAGAATCCACACTTGTTGTCATGCATTGAGGAGCCTGCTCTCAATCCTCTAGCATTTCAAAAGCTGGTTAATTCAGCTTTAATTGAAACAAAACTAAAATTAATTAACAATCTCATTTTGTATATATTATTCTGAAAGACTGCCTTGCAAATAATTCACATCTGTAAGGTTTTGGAGTAGATCTGTAGCTCGGGTTGTGGGTGTTGAGGTTGGTTGGCTCACCGAGCTGGTTTGTTGTTCCGCAGACGTTTCGTTACCGTGCTTGGTAACATCCTCAGTGCAGCCTCTGATGAAGCGTCGGTGTGTTTTCCCGCCTGGTTTTTAAACTCTGGGGTCTGTTGCGATGGATTGCCTCACTTCCGGGTTTCCTCCGTAGTGGAATGTATATGGGGTTGAGTTCAATGTCCACGACTTTGACTGGGACAACACCAAGATCCTAGGACAGGCTAGGCAGAGACAAGCACGAGAATTCCTGGAAGCATGGCACTCCACGAAGCATGCTATTAATAAACACATTGAACTCGACATACATTCCACTACGGAGGAAACCCGGAAGTGAGGCAATCCATCGCAACGGACCCCAGAGTTTAAAAACCAGGCGGGAAAACGCACCGACACTTCATCAGAGGCTGCACTGAGGATGTTACCAAGCACGGTAACGAAACATCTACGGAACAACAAACCAGCTCAGCGAGCCAACCAACCTCAACAATTCACATCTGTGAAAATTTCAAATGATGTTTAACATTGTGGCTTCCTTGAATGTGACTTTTTTAGTTGAGCATTCTGAAGCAAGTAAGTAGAAAGCTCAATTCGGACTAAGATTGATTGATTGGGTCAGTTCACTTTTATCAATTCTTTTTGACTTGAATTGTGTGCTTGATGTAATTGGGTTGAACTGTTTGTGTCTGTTAGATGTCTGAATAGACACCGGAGAGTCAGCATAAGTTGCATTTCAGTCGACTTGCTAGTTGGATATGTATGGACATTTTGCTATCATTACGGTAAACTATCTTGAATTTCAGTTCTAAACTGCATAAAAACATAAAATGTGATGAAGGAGCAGCAATGTTCCCAGTCTGTATGCATAATAGTCGGGCCTCACGTTTGATGTTTCAACTTATTTTGTGAAGTGCCACATATAATTTCATGTCTACTGTTCAGGGCCATTTGATATTATGAAAGATGCAGTTGCTGTACAAGCCAAATTTTTTGTTATATCTTGAGAGATGGTTTTTTTTTTCTCCATAACTTTGTGAAGGATATGTCATAACAAATCACTGAAAATTTTGGAAATCTTTTATGCAATTAATTTCAACATTGTCCCTCTCCAGACTAATGGGGAGACTGGGATTTTTACATATCTCTTGTGATTCCTTTCTCTGCAAACCTGACCTTTTAAAAATGGTTACCCTTGTGTTGAATCTTCAGTACTTGGGTGGTAAACTGAATTAGATGTCGGTAGGTGAAGCTGGACAGGTGAGGTGGCTGCTGGGTGCAGAAGCAAGATAGCCAGAAAACCAGCCTGAAAAATCTGGCTCTGTCTGAAAGTGTAAAACCAGAAAATAAATTTCTCTCCATCTCTCACCTCTTTGCTCCCTCATGCACCACACACTCCCATTCAAATCCATGTTTCCCCATGCTTCCCACCCTTTACATCAAGGCAAATGTCTCCACCTACCACCTCCATGTCAGGTTGCGACTTTCAAAACACAACCTAAGTGACTCTTCGTGCTCCCCATGCCAAACTATCCACCTCATCCTCTCCTACAGGCCTTCATATCTTTATGCTAACCCGTGCTCATCCACACAATCTTAATGACCCGTAACAGCTTCATGTCAAACACATCCTTCAGTCTTTTCCCTTGCATGCACTGAGTATGTGCCATGTACAAACCTCTGGATCCATGCAAAGGCATTCGAATTGATAACCTCTTTCAGGTGGGGCTATATCACTTGTAACTGTCAGTCACATGAAATGGCGTGCTTCTGACTGTGATAATGGAAGGCTGTTAAATGAATTGTGCTGCAGTACTTTTTAATTCTTTGATAACTTGACAGCTGTCTTTCACAGGTTATGTTGATTAGTTTCTATGATTTTGACAACAATTCATTTATGATTTTTATGCACATACATGCCTACACTTAACACTCCCAAAGGGCACCTGACCTCCCAAAGGGGCTTCACTTCTCAAAAATGTCCTGGGACCAGATTGAAAAGGTGTCTCCTGTCATTTCGAGAAATGCACAACGTTCAGAAATACAGTTAGCAGGTCAACTGTGTCAATTTCAGTTTTAACACTTCGAGGATGCTGAAATTCTACCTCAGTTAAGACAGCTGACTTTTTAAACGATCAGTAGCCTGCATAAATTGCATATGTATAGATCCTGACCCAACCTCATTCCCACCTGAAGCAAAATGAGAAGTGCCATGTTTGAGCTGGGACTTGCAATTTCTGGCTTCTTCATTCTTTTCACCACAGAAGGCTATTCCTTGTAGACAGGATGTAGGCTGATATTTTCCAAGTAACCGTAGTGTATCATGTATATCCATCTTGCATGTTTGCTGCTTGTGATACCGTCTCAATTCCAATGTTTCAACAGTTCTCCCCAGAGGAGGGAGATGTGCCTACTAATGAGGAAACTTTACTCTACTTGAATCAGTCTTGTGACAGTGGTGAGGAGGAGGTAGCAGCCGATGCTGCTTTTTCATGCACAGTTAGCATTGGTTAGTTAGCGTTTTCATTCTGAACTGTACATCCGTGGTCATCTTCATCTGTGCTCTCTGTCTATTGGCATCATAAATCTGTTATGCTTTACACTTGGTCCAAACTCTACAAAATGAGTTTACCTTGAACTGATTGTCTCTGTCTATGTGGTGGCAATTATCAAAGGTTCTGACTCAAGGATGAAGATTAACTTGGAGCTAGGAGTCAGAACACAATGGTGAATGAAGTTCGTAGACTCCAAAAATAGGAGAGGATTTGAATATACTCGTGAATTAGGCAGATAGGTGACATCTGAAATTTATTGTAGAAAAATACACATCGGAACAGCAAAGCCACGAAGGGACTATTTAATTGGGAAGCAAATAATTTGCTTGGAAAATGAAAAGAAGTTTAAGGGCTCTGAATGGCAATTGAACAACTGCAAAAATACTCCATAATGGTGAGTAGAGAAAATAATTTGTTGGGATGTGTTAAAGGAGCAATGTAGAGTCTAAATAGCAACATATACCTGATAACTTGATGTAACTGCACTC